GGCTGATCTCCTCACAAAAAAAAAAAAAAAATTTCACCCAAGCCATTTTGGGGGAAATGAGGACTTCAGAAATTCCTCAGGCTGTAAGCACAACAAAATAGAACTTCTTCCAACATAATTTAACTATAAAATCTGATGATGTAACACCCACCCACACCCACATCACAAACCAAAGTGACATCACAAATACTAGAGATAATGGTTCAAAACTGCCATCATGTGAGCCAAAATCTAAGCAAACTGCAATTTGCCCATACACGACTGAGGCAGAGAAAGACAAGTGACTAGAAATATTAAAACAAAACAAAACAAAACAAAAAGGGAGAAAAAGAGAAAAGAAAATACATATTTCTTCCCCCTACTAAGCTAGCTAAAATAAAATTTAACGCAACCGAAATATGGTAAGGTGATTTTATTTTTTATAGATGACATTGCTTAAAAAGCCAGGTGTCTTTTACGTATGTGATTCTAATCTATCCAAATTGTTTTTCTTGTTCATGGCTAGTCCCAGGAAATGGAGACCAGCATCATTTACGTTGTGCTTTTGCCTTTATGGACCCCAGACTATATTTCCCTGTTTAGCAGCTTTCTTGGCTCATGGCAGTCTGGTTAGAAAGTGTATTCAGGGTTTGGCAGAAGTTTACCTGCTGTCATTTCTGTGTTGCAATATGACTGAGGAGTGACTACAGCTCCTTTGGGAATCTTGGAGTGATCCTGTCTCCCATTCCTTTCCTGCCGTGTGGTCCCTTAGCTTTCCAGAAGACAGGAATTGTCTTGGAGTCCTTGTAAATGCCGCCTGACTGTCCACTTCCAGCCCAAGCATGCTGTGTTCTTTCAGACCCTGAATATCACCATGACTTTGTGAAGTTACTGTCACTTCCCTACTTGGTACAAGAGGCTTTGATAAGCAGGAGAGAGGATGTATAGAATGATTTCTAAGAGCTGTGTTGGAGGAATGGTCTATAAAAAGATGCTAACACTTTGCCTCCAAAGTAGACCTTCTAGTCTCTGCTTGAGAACTGATCATTTTTATTCCCTTTTTTCCCACTTGTAATTCTAGCATTCGATCCATGTGAGACGAGACCCCAGCATCCCCACCTATGGACTCCGACAATCTATCTTACTGAACACCAGGCTTCAGGACTGCTATGTGGACTCGCCAGCTCTCACCAACATCTGGATGGCCAGAACGTGTGCAAAGCAGAAAATCAGTGCCCCACAACCAGGTACCACCTCTTCCTGGGAAGTTGTAAAGAACCCGTTAACTGCCAGTTCATTCTCCCTGGTTAAGCTGGTGCTCCGGCGACGACAACTGAAGGATAAATGCTGCCCGGTACCACGCAAGTTTGGAGAAGCAAAACCCTCGAAGAGATTAAAGCCCAAGGACAATTCAGCAATGAAAGCCACCCAGCGGGGCAGGATAAGAAACTCCATTAGTTCCAAGAGCAAGCGGCCAGTGGGGCAGGGGCCAGGCTCACCTAGGTGCAGGGGGCCTGCAGGAGGCATCAATGAGGTAGATGATGGCTGGGGGTGAGAAAATGTGATGGAGTGGGGAGAGGGAAATGTAAGCTAGAGAACAGTTAATGCTATGTGAAGCGAAGGAAATCTTAAAGTTAAACACAGGGTTGTGTGGGGGTGATGTGGGGGATGGTGTGGGGGATGGCGGGGAGGTTAGAACGAGGGTGAGGAAGGCAGCAAGATATAGTGGAGAGTGTACCAGATCTGGGGTCACTACCTATCTACAGTCTGCCTAGTTTTCTAGGAGGATGAAGTGGGTTTCATAGACAAAAGGAACTTGAAGTGAAGGGAAATAAGAGTGGGCAAGGCCAGGATACGGGTAGTGCACCCAGGCACACACACTCGAACAACAGAGGTGAGCCACAGATCTGGCTATGAACTTCCCCATGGAGAACCTGGCATCCAGAGGCCTGATCCAAGTCCAGCTCCATCACTCCATGGTGGCCAGCAGAGCTCAGAATGCACCCCGTAGCTAGGCTGTCAGGGTTCAAATACCAACTCTGACGATAATTTGAGGACAACTGTGGGCTTAGCCTCTTTCTGCCTTGGTTTTTGTCATCTATAAAATGGGGGCTAACAGCCTTTCCCTCATAGGGTTTCATGAGGATTAAATGAGTTAAGACATGCAAAGGGCTTTTGAACAGAGCCTGGCACAGAGTAAATGATTAGGATCTTGCGTGGCATTCAATAGATGACAACTGCGGTTATTAACCTTCCAGCTGTGTGGCCTTGGGCAGACCAATTCCAATTTCCTTGCCTTTAAAGCTGTCTCCTGCTGACCTTACAGGGTTATGGGGAACGCATGCAGCGGTATACATGAAGGAATTCAGTAAACTAGAACACGCTAGACAAATGTTGGTTGTGGCTGTAACCAAGACTCTGGGACACAAATCCCAGATAATTATTCTGAGCTCCCTTCTCAAGTTTTAGCTTTGACTTCTCTGCTTTCTTCCTGGCTAGAGTAAAGAAAGTTCAAAGGAGAAAAAAGTAACAGTCTGCCAAGATCTTGAGAGCAGATATGCTGAACATGTGGCTGCCACCCAAGTGCTACCCCGGGACATTGGGACAACAGCCTGGAAGGGCCGAGCGTTGCTTCCTGAAACCAGAAAGAGACAGTCGTCAGAGGACACGCTAACCATCCACGGCCTCCCCACAGAGGGTTACCGGGCTCTGTACCACACCGTGGTTGAGCCGATGCTGTGGAATCCTTCAGGGACCCCCAAGAGGTACAGCTTGGAGCTGGGCAAGGCCATCAAACAAAAGCTCTGGGAAGCTCTGTGCAGCAAGGCTGCCACCCCCGAAGGCACTCAGAAGGACCTGCGACCAGGCAGGAAGCGGCTGGAGGTCCACGAGGAGCCTGTGCCCAAGAAATGGCCCAAGTTCAAGACGGAGAAATAGGAACAGGAGCTCACAGGATCGGGATATTCTCTGCTAGATGTCTGAAAAATAAACACCACTTTGCACCTTCCATGTAATCTGAGTGCTTTACAAATTAGTAACTACCCTCCCCGGGAAACAAGGCAAATGGGTGCGAGATTCATTTCAGACTGAGGGCCCCCCTCCACTCTCATGATTAGGTAATTTCGAGGGCTAGATGCTGGGGGCTTTTTTCCTACAAGCCCCTTTCCCTTAACAGGGGCTTGAGGGTCTCTCAGTCTTCCAGGTAGGAAAAGGCCTGGTAGATGAAGTCGACAGTTTATATATAGCCTATATTCCCTATTTTTAGAAAGTGGACTGCTAGGATCGACTATTTCCCTCACTCCCTCCACACAGGGCTGAGCAGAAAAACTACCACCACCTCAAGGACATAATCCCACACACTCGCTGTCAGATACTCCCCCTGACACCACCCAAATCCTCAATAACCTGAACTCTGTGTTAACAGGAGAGGAATTTATAGACACTTCCACGAGCGACTTGAAGTTAAGGGTATTGCTTCAGGCAAACCTCTCCTTTGTGGAAACCGTAGACCTTTACCAAATAGAGCAATGACAACATGTAACACGTACTTGATAAAATTGTATTTTTTTTACAGTCATTTGTACAATTTGTTACAAAACCATAGAAGACTATAACTTGTTTTAAATCATTTTTGGTCGGCAAATATGTAAAATCTGTGTGCAATTATCATGTATTTACAGGGCCGCATGTTAGTCATTTTCAATGATTATTCCAACAATGTCACACTCTCAACATAAGACATGGCTTAAGATAAATATATTAGTAAATAAATATTCTGAGAACATATTTCCATAAATGAAATGTGCTGCTATACATATACAGAATATACATAAGTTGTTTTCTAGCCTTTAAAACATTTTTTAAAAATGGTAATGTTGGAGAAGGAGCCCTTAGACCATTTTATTACAAAATCTTTACAGCAAAGTCTTTACAAAATATCTTTTAAGTGCTATGGGAGAAAGTTTTTAAAAAACATTTTAAAATAGTGCCTTGTTAGACCAACACAATAGAGTTTATATAAAGAATAGAAAAAGGCAGTTCTGTTTAAAAAATAATACTCTTGATTAGTAATTATTTTTTAGACCTCATTCTAAAAGCATTAGTCCTGCATGAACTTTTGAGTAGAAACTAGCAGCACGTTAGGGAGGGCCTGAGCGGTGGCACAGCAGATGGCGCCTCATAAAATGGCGTGGGTTCAAAGGAGAGGCGAAGAGACTGAGAGACCTAAAGCGAGCATACTGGGGCTGCGTCTGCTACAAAGAGGTACCTTGTTGATCAGAACTCCCCAACTCCCAAACCGTTTCTAGCACTCTTCAGTTTACATGGCTGTCCTACACCCAGGGCTGGGCCACGGGACCACGCCCAACAGTCACACTCCAGCCTGGGGGGTGGTTCTCAATGGAAAATGCTATGCTCCCAGTTTCCACGGCGATTTAACCCCCACACGCTATGGAGAGGCCAACGAAAAAGCTACTTGTCATCATTATTGGAGTTTTACAACTTCAAAGAAGACATTTCTTTTGATTTGAATGGTGAGGCAATAATACCATTGGCTACTGTATTCTGGTGACCTGTCTGGTGAGCCAACACAAATTTAAGATAATGGCTGATATTTAAAGTTCCATTTTTCTGTTTCTACCACCCTGTAAACTACAAAAATTAAATGTGCTTCTTTTGCCATCTGTACTTATTGCTCTTTCAAATGAAAATTAGACACATTTAATAAGCTCAGTTGAAGTCACATTCTCTACTCATCTATTTATTGCTTAAGGCGCCTGAGGAGTGGTTTTCCAGCCAGGGCTAAAGAAAGCCACTTTGGGGGTATGGTTTCAGACAGGGAAGATCATACGCATTCAAAGGCATTAAAAACAAAAAAACAAAACCACAAACAAACAAAAAAATCTCAAAAATGAGAAGCTGCTTTTTGCAATTCATGTTAGAAGCCATACTCCCCACCCCTTCCCTAAAACCATGTAATGCAAGCTGTTGTCCTCAGCAGCTGCTCCTCCTGGCCGGAGAAATAAAGGGAGCCCAGATCACATGTCAACAGCTTAGGCTCTTCTCACACCCTCGCCAACAGGTGTGCTAGGCATAGCCCCTGGGAGGGGGGTACTGCACCTCAGAGACTGGAGGACAAATCTTACCACAGTGAGTTCCTAAATGGCAAATGGCTCAATCATTTGATACTAGAATTTCTTTCTATCAAATCCTGGCTAGAAGTAGGTAGGTAAATTTCCTCATCATAGGCTGGGGTTTTTAAGAAAAAGCGATTCTGATACAGTGAGATTCTCATTCAAAAGGTTCTGGTCTGGACCCTGGGCTGACTTCGCTGAGCCTTACTGGAGAGGAGTCATCACAGTTGCCTGGCAACCCAGGGTGGTCTCCATTTCCTCACCTATAGGGGGCCAGGTCTAAAGTTTCCTATTCCGCTAATAAGCATTTCAGATGACAACTAATATTTGCTGAATAAATGAATAAATAAAAGTGATCAGAAGAGTCAGTGAACATAAAGCTAATGTCATTAGTTTCCTCTAAAAAAAATTTTTTTTAGAACAAGAAATACATTGGACGAAAAGGATGAAAATCCCTGATCTGAAATAGCTTTAGATTCTCCCTTTTAAAATGGAAATATCTTTAAAAGAAAAAAAATGGTTTGGGTTTTTAACTCTCCCTCCCTCTTAAAAAACGACAACAACAAAAGGCTGGAAAAATATACAAAAACCTACCCTTTGGGTCTAAACTATCTGATAGTCTCTTTCTCTGTCTCATGGAGAATCAATACATAATAGTGCATTAGGTAGAAAGGATAGTAGACATTTGCAGGCGAGATGAGCACTTTCAGCCATGAGGCAGTGGGCTGAATAACCCTGAAGCGGTGCTTCGCTAGGGAAACGGGATGGGAAACGTATCCTTCAAGCGGAGCTCGGTGCAGACGCGGCGGGGGCCCTGCCTCGCGCCCCCAGGAAGGCAGCCCAAGGGCTCAGCAGCCGAGGGGCGTGGCTGCGCCCACACAGACGCATGCGCACAGGCACGCTCCAGCGCGCCCTCCGTCCCTTCTCCGGGTTAGAGAGCACTCTCTCCCAGCCCTATCCGACACCAAGGCCGCAAAACGACCTTCTTCCTGGGTGTTTGTCCCCACACACCCCGTCGAAGCATTTCTGCAGCCAGTGGCAGGAAGCCCAAGATCAGGATTGTGAACTCTGTCCTTTTACTTAGAACGATGACCCGAGGGGACAGACTGAGGACACTGGGCAGAACCGTCCCTGTCACCCTGGGGCTTATGTAGCAATGGCTTATCCCGGCTCCCCAGTGCTGCAGACCTTCCCCACTATTCCTAGCTGTTTCCATCAGCTGCCTAAAGGTGTGGGCTGGAGAGGCATGGCTTCTGAGAAAACCTGAAAGTTTGTACACTGGGATTTGCCACGAGAAAGAAAGAGGCAGCATTGCATTGTTCCTCAGAGTTTGTACCCATATCAACTAGCTTTACTTCAAGTTTCTGGTTCATTTTCTAAGGCAGGTGTAGCCCTGAGCTTTTCAAAGGCCTGAGCTCCCTCCGGGGAGACAACAGTATCTACACATGATGTGGTTTAATTAATGCAGCAGTGATTTTTTTTTCAGCAAAAGTTGGCGGTTAGAGTTCTTTAAAATATATATTTAAATAACTTTTTACATTTACATATAATATCTTAAAAACAAAGCAGAGAATTCAATCCCACACACCTCGGAACCCCAAGCACACACACTTTACAAAACAGAAGAATAACATGTTATCAAAAGAGGCAAAAGACTCAGAGAATTTTGTCTGTTGGTTTGTTAATTGTGGGGGGGAGGGTTTGCCACAGGTGGCTCACATTTTGGGTTGAGAAGGAGGGCTCTCTTTATTACCACTTTTGTGTGTTTGTCAAAGCTAAAAAAAATTTTTTTTTTCTGAAGGAAGTCAGAGTTTGGAGTCTCCGTACAGTTCCCATTTCCACATCAGAGTTCCTTCTGGGCTCAGGCACCCGTGCTGCCACCACCGTCTGCTGGGCGGGATCTCTGTCCTGGGAGAGAGAGAACAATCATCAGGAGAGGGAGCCAGCACCGCAGGCTTCGGGTGTATGCACAGGGAGCAGGTAAGGGACTGGGGTGCCTGTCCCCAGCGTGTGGCAGGCTCAGGAAGGGACAGCTCACGATACTGGACAGACTGTGTATATGGTAAAGGGCTGAAGCAGAGCTCCTTTTCTAAGAGCTCCTCATCCTGTGCTAAGAGCACACATGCCTCCTGGAGAGCTGGCCTCCCTCATCTGGATGTGCAGAGCCTTCTGGAAGCCCTTAGGTAGCATGAAAACACAATGTACAAAAGATGTACATCAGGCACTGGGAAGAGCAGGGGAGAAGACTCCTCTCACAGAGCTTACAGACCCCAAAACAAAGTAATTTCAGATTGTGATAAACAGGGAAGTAAACAGACAGTGTGAGAGTAACCTCAGAGGGGGCTGGAGGGCGTCCCTGAAGCTGAGATCTGGAGGAGAGAAGCAGCAGAGAGGTCTGGAGGCTGGAATGAACTTTGCATGTTGGAGGAACAGGATGGAGGCCACAGAGCAAGGAGCAGCGAGCAATGAGGAGAGCAAAGCAGGAGACAGTCAGAGGGGCAGGCAGCGCCAGACCACATGGAACTGCGTGACGAGTTGACAGTTTTGAAATCCTAAAGGCAATGGCAAGTCACTGAAGGGTTTTCTAGTGTAAAGACATAGACCTAAGTTTGAAAAAAGACCACCCTAGCTCCCATGCAGAACAGAAGGCAAGACTAGCGAGAGACCAGAAGGCTACTGTCTTCCCCCTGGAGAGAGGAAACGGGCCTGACTGAGGGGACAGCAGGTGGGGATGCGCAGTAGATAAATGTGGGATATGCTCTGGAGGTGAAATTTGTCACAGTGCTACTCAAACGTGCTGGACTGCACACTGTTTAATTACTGAGACGAAATGTTTGGAAATTTTATAGCAATTTGGCAATGTCTGCTGAATCTAATAATGAATTCTGGACCTGGATTCTGCATGTCTTTTGCTAAGTTTTGTGTTTCTGGGAGTTCAGTTTTCTGGACGGGGAAAACATGCACATGTGGTCCTCACAGACAGGTTGAGAAGCCCAGGACACTGGAGAGTGAGGGACAGGGTGGGCCCAGGGATGGTGTCTGGGCTTTTGGCCTGAGCAGCTGGGTGGGGAGTGTTGGAGAAGGTGGGGCACAGAGGGAGGAATTCAAAAGTGCTGCTGTGGACGTGATGTTGGGATGCTTACGCAGCATCTGGGGGGAGAGATCATGGAAGCAGAGGGCCTAATGGGTCTGGAACTCAGAGAAGGCTGGGTTGGGGAATAACACTGGGAAATCATCAGGCGCAGATGGTGTTTCAAGTCAGGGGCACAAAGGAAGTCACTTAGAAAACCACCAGAGAGAGAGAAGAGGAACCCGACTCTGGCCTGCTGTCATCTCCTGCTCTCACCTGCAGCCTCAGTGGCTGTGGCGTTGGACTCCTGAGTGTCCTGGGGGCCAATGGGAAAGCTGGCCCTGGTGGCCCCTGCCTCCTCTAGGGGGCAGCCAGGGGGCAGCAGTGCCCTGGCCTGGCAGCACAGAACCCGCTCTTCTTCCTGGGCTGCTCCCAGGCCCCTGTGGGGCCGCAGGGCGTCTGGGCCCAGCGTCCCACCCCAAGGGCCGAGGCCATGGGTCCCATGGCAGTCCGAGGACAGGCCCAACTCACAGTCCACATCCTCTGGAATGATGGGGATGCGCTGGCTCAGGTCCCGGGCCCCTGGGTGGCAGCTGGGCAGGGCCTCCTGGGAGAGCGTGTACTGCACGCTCACCGAGCAGTCCTCAGTGTAGCAGCCGCCGCCGCCTCCGCCACCGTGGGCCACCTGCTTCTCTTCATAGAAGCAGCAGGGCAGGCCCTCATATTTCACCCCATCTGTTCTGGGCAAATGGTCTGGGTGAAGGCCGTACAGGGAGCTTCCTGGCTGTGACTCCCCACCTGTGGGGCCACAGCCCTCACAGAGTGGGGGGCCCAGGAACAAGGTGCTGCCCTCAGCTGCTCCTATGCTGGGCTCCAGTGCGGAGGGCTGGGGCTCGCAGCAGCAGGCACACAATGGCCCCTCAGGGCCCCCCTTCCAGGTCCTCCTGAGGTCTGGGGCGGCCCCAGGAGAAGCCTCGAGCCCCACTTCTGAGGTAGAGCTAGTGGGCCCCCTGTGCTCCAGGGAGGAGTTGCTGCTGTAGTTCATCTCCAGGCTGCAGGTGGACAGCTGGTCCCCCGAGGGAGAGGCAGGGCCAGGCCAAGGCTCTCCCCGCCCAGCACCTGGACTGTGGGCTGCCACGAGCTCCTCAGGTGGCAGGGAGCCCTCGAGGTGCACAACAGGCCCCTGGCCAGAGCTGCCCGAGCCCCCCACCTCACTGGTGCGACAGGGGCTCCGGCTGCGGTAGATGAAGGGGTCATAGTCGCTGCTGAGGGAGCTGCGGAAGGTGGAGCAGCTCCCGTACACGCCTTGGTTGCTGACCTCAGTGCAGTCCACCACGGAGTCGCTGGAGGAGCAGTGGCACTGGCCAGAGCTGCTGCTGCTGCTGCTGCTGTCACTGCCCGGGCAGTCGGCCAGGTAGCCACTGCACACCGAGCGGTGGCCGTGGTAGCAGCTAAAACTGGATGTGCTGCCGCTCTCCAGGTGGGCGGGTGGGGCCACGTGCACCACAGTGGGGAAGAGCAGGCTGCCACTGCCACTCGGGGGAAAGGCACGGGACGGGCCCCTGGGAGCGAGGCTGGGCGGGGCCTGACCCTCCTGCTCGGGGTAGCTGAGGCCCTGGAAGTAGTAGTGTTGGTACATGGTCTCATACTGGGAGAAGCAAGCTGCCTTGGAGAAGCTGCGGCTGCTGAACTTGGGCCTGCGGAAGGGGTGGGCTGGTGAGTAGGCCCGGTGCTCCAGGCCGCAGCGGTGAGGGGCCAGGGTGTGGTCCAGGTGGAGGGGTGGGTAGCCGCGGATGTAGGTGGGGGTCTGTGGCGAATAGAGGCTCTGCTCCCCGTGCCGGTCCACAGTCAGCAGCGTGACGGGGTTCCCGTGGGAGTCCATGCTTGTCCTTGTAGGGTAGGCTGGGATGGCGTTGGTCCTGTGCACGTGGCCGGGGTAGTGGACCGGCAAGATCACCCTCTGCTGCCGGCTGCGCGCGAGGTTGCCGGTCTCCACGCACACGGCGCTTGGGTTTCCCTTTTGTTCTGGGGAGAGGTGGAAGAAGCCAAGTCAGCAACGCTGAGCACACTGGGCCCAGAGGCTAGAGGGACAGATTAGGGCAAAGACTGAGGCAGCAGGCTTGGTGACATGCCAAGGTGCCCATTCTAAGGTGTCACCAAACTCAGCCACGCTGCCAGAGGCTGACCCGCTTTTCCATTTGAAAGGTGGTCACTCCTGTAAGGGCCCATCTCCCGCCTACTCACAGGAGTTTGAGCAACAGGGATAGGAAGATGAAGGCGTTTCCCTCTTAGAAAAAGAGCTGCCTGGAGGGCACCCTGTGTTCCAGCTCCCTTACCCAACACCACAGTGACACAGGAGTAGCACAACAAGCCTGCTACCTCACATTCATCATCTCTTGTGGCGCAGGAACAGCCCCGTGGGAGTAGGCACAGGCAAGCATCATTATTGTCATTCCCACTAAAGAGATTGTGGGCCTAACGCCTGGAGAGGCCAGATGCCTTGCCCAACGTCAGGCAGCTGGTTCATGTGAAAGCCAAAACTCCAACTCAGGGCACTTCTTCACGCCAGGCTCTCCTAAGGGTCTGGAGGCCTGGTGACCTCTAGAACCCAAGGCTGCCATGCCTCCAAGTCCAGATGGCAATGCTTGGTGGTTTTGCTTGCTCACCAGCCTGTAGCATGTGCCACACTCTTGCTAGGCACTGGGTGGGAACAGTGACTCTTCAGCAATGATGGAGGCAGGTGACAGTTACCTATGATGTTGTGCCGACAGTGGGGGCAGGTGTGGTGCTGCAGCAGCCACGGGTCCACACACTTCCTGTGAAAGCGGTGAGTACAGGGGATCACCCGCAGCTCCTGGAAGGAAGAGAGGACACACAGCCTGAAGGGAGGGCACAGGTGGAGGGCAGTTTTGCATTAGCCCCACACATGCTTCTTCCTGCAGAGCCCAGCGTGGACCGAGGAGCCCTGTTCACCATGCCAGGGCCCAGAGGCTCCTTCCCTTCCTCCGCCCCATCTCTAGCTACATACAGGTGGACTCAATTCCCTGGAGTCAGGGCCCATGCGTGGCTTCCAGGGAGAAGGAAATGGCCCATCAGCCAGCCCCAACCATGGCCCTCAGTGGTAAGGGAGAAGGTACACAGAGGCAGGCTCCTTTCTTGTCGCTGGAGGAGGGCACTCACGTTCATGCCACACACAAGGGAAGACTGGAGCCATGTGCTAGTGCAGGTGGGCCGCCTGGGGATGGGGAGAGGGCTAGGTACACCCCAAGACCTTCTGCGTCTCTGGGATGGTGGCCGCCTCCAGGTACCCCAAGTGGGGACCAGCAGAAAGGAAGATACCCGAGACTCGTGATTGATGGGTGGGGCAGCAAAGAGGCAAAGCTCTCCTGTCCTCTCCTTTGCTAGATCCTGAACTCTCACCTGGGGACACATGGCTTATAACAAAGCAGCCCATGTGGAGAGGAGGAGATGGGGTTTTCTGAGGCAGAACCACCTCTGGAGTTCCTGAGCCCAGGCATCCTCCAAATTTGCTAATTTTACTTTGTTTTTCCATTCTCTGACCAGCTTAACACAATAACATCCAAACTAATCCCTAACGCTGTGCCTGACTGTGGCAAGAGTTCTACCTGTATTTTCTCACGTCACCTTTATGATCACCTGGAGTGCAGGTCATTCTCGGGCCTGTGTCACAAGCATAGGCATAGAGAACGAAGTCACTTGCCCAAGATCACAAAGCTAGAACTCGCCTGAGCCAGGATTAGAACCCAGGCAGTCTGCACCTAGAGACCATGCATGACTCTATTAATCCAAAGGCCTCTGCAAAAACTCATTTTTCATCCAACAGCCTACACAGCAGTAGAACACTTTCATCAGAGGGGCATCAAATGTCTGCAACTAATACTCAAGGGGTTTGCCCCCTCCCAGTCCCCAAAATGTGAGTGTATGTATGCCTCTGTCTAGAAAGAGATCAGCAAACGTGACAAAATGTTAACAACCATTCTAGGCGAATGATACATCATTCATTGTATGATTCTTGCAACTTTTCTGAAAGTTTGAAATTTTCAGAATAAAAAGGTAGAACAAAGGATACATCACATCCCTTGTCTCTTTATAAGTAAAAACACCAAACATTCCACACAGCTTTGTAGAGGAGGTTTGTATCAAGTCAAGTCTCAGAGTTTTCAGAAGAGTAATTCGAAAATTAAGTCAACATGTGTGAATGTTCTTAAAACCAGACATTTTCTGGCCCTACCATATATTTCTGATCAACTTGTGAAATCAATTGTGTTCAGCTGGGTCGTCTGGAGAAAGTGTCTCTGTAATGTGGCTACTGCTTTCCAAGGGGAAATAGCAGTTAGAATGTCTCAGGCCATCCCCTTGAGACCTAGGCATTTAAGCCCTTCTGCTCCTGCAAAGCTGTGGGAAAAGGCCGTGGGGCCCTATCCTTCTAGGTCCTGTGTGCCTTTGCTAACCTATCCACCTCGTCCCCACCTGGGACAGGCCCTGTCTCTGCCGCCATTACCTCTCCATCGATGTACTTCTCGAGGCAGATGGCACAGTCGGACGTGGAGCTGCTGCTGAGCGTGTCCAGGGCCCCACAGCTCCCCTCTCGGCGTCCCTTGCTCTTGGAGTTGAACTTTCTGGTTTCCATCTTCTCCAGAGCCTGCACAGCCAGCCTATTCATGGAATTCTGCATGGCAGAATGTGGTCCGTGTTAGGGTCCGGGGTGTATTAACAGCAGGAGTCACCCCAGGGCCATGGCACTCGATGCACTGGGACAGGCAACTGCTAGTCTGTATCAGGCCAGAACAGACTTTTGAGAAATCACTAAAAACTCCGACTGCCACAGCACAGATCTTCCAGACTTCCGAGTGTCCTCGACATCAACTCAGGCTTTTCCCAAGTGGCAGTACCAGCAGAGGCCTACTTCAATTACTTGGATAACTCTGCAAGACCCTGAGTTATTAACCTGCTCTATGGCAAGTGTTCCTCCTCTTTACACTGAGGAAAGTTCTGAGGGCAAATGGGACAATGAGCATAAGTGCTCAGCACTTGGCATATGGCACGAGCTCAGTCAACACCAGCCACTGTCCTGTTGGTGGGGGTCACTCAACCCTTGTGAGAACTCAGCGATTCTCCTCGAGAGATTGCCTGCCAAGGTCCACCATCTCTCGCGCGATATGTCACACCACTACACATTTGATAGTCTAGATTCCTGCTTATCCTCTCATCACCCTCCACCCTCAAATCCTTCCTTCCATCAAGCACACTGTGATGTGCCAGCTGGGGCATTAGCCTGGAGAGCTTGAGAATCGCCTGGAGAGCTTGGTAGAGGCAGATTCAGATTCAGCAGATCTGGGCGGGGCGCTGAGATTCTGCATTTCTGCCAAGCTCTCAGGTGATGCTGATGGTCCCCAGATCATATTTGAGGCGCGAGGCTCCAGGGCTTCACATTAACATTAAACATTTCTTTGGAAAAACTCCTTGCTGGAAACAACCCCAGTGCTCGGCCTTTGTAGGACTGGCCCTTTTGGAACAGATAAGACGCAGCGCTATAAGCTTTGCTCTTGTTTTCTCCATCTTTGCTGTTTCCAGGCCGCTGAGAACAGGCTGCAGAGCTCAGGCCCCACCCCTGGTTTTTGCTAGCAACAGGGGAGTGGGGGTCATGGTTCACGGGCTGCAAAGAGAAATTACCTGACTGCGTCGCTGCTTCAACTTGATTTTGACAAGGAGGATGAGGCAGACCAAGGAGACCACGACGAAGAAAGCCAGGAAAATCCCCATGTCAAAGTACTCAGTGGGTTGCTGGAGCAGAACACAGACACAATGAGTCACAGCCCTCTTCAGCCTGGGGATCGGCACATGGGCCGTGTCGGCCCTGGTCAGGATAAGGATGGGGCAACTGGGGTGCATTTCCCCTCATTTGCAGGAAATACCTGGGGTTCTGCTAACACACACACAGTGTGCTCTCCAGGCCCAGGTAGTACCCTGCAGTGTGGCCAGGGGCAGGCCTGCAATGGTCTCAGCCAGGCCTCCTAGTAGCCAAGAGAACTGTTCATAAAGCCAAGCTCCCCGTGGAATAGCGTAAAGTTCGCTGTAACCGGTAGGAGAGGCCCTTCCAAATAAACACAAATATCACATTTATGGGACAAAGGAGTGAGTGTCATGTTTTGAGGGAACAGTGATTACTAACCATGTAATTAATGGTTTACAACAACTCAGAAAATTGTATGCTGCTTCCACAAATATCAGCTTCCACTACAATGAGTCATATTTACCAAAGCGCTCTTTTTTCCTTTAAAAAGAAGCCAGCAAGTCAGTTCTGAAAACTCCCTCTGGTTTTAGTTCTTACCTTTTCCTCACAGCACACTGCCTCCTAAAACCTTGAGGCTACCTCATCTAGGACATGCATTTAGCCAATAGGAATAGAGTTTTGCTAATTCAATGTTGCAGGTATCTAGATATTTTGTGTATGCAAAAGAATCATCCTATATGTGAATATTCCAATATTTGTGAGGAGGAAATAAACCATATATGGGGCACCTGTACCAGGTTCCTAGCATCTTCAGCCTGAGGTTTGGGTAGAAGATGCCAGACAAGAGTTAATGGCCAGCAGTGTCCCTTCAACACACTTAGGAGAAGCCTCAATGCTATTCATTAACCACCTGGAAGTCATGAACTTCAATCCCAGTTGAAAGCTAACTTTTCCAGACTCAAATATAAGTTAGGGGGTTTCAATAACACAATTAACCCCATGAGAAGAAGGAAGTACAGGCCTTTTCTTTAGTCTAGGTGAAATGGAAGGAGGGAGACATGGGAAGCCGAGTGCTGGGTATTCTGTCCTTTCAATCCTCCTCTCTTCTGTCTCATCTTCAGAGGGAGATGGGGCAGAAGAGAAAGAAGGACAAGAGGTTACCAAGAGCAAATGGTGGGTGGAAGAGACCAGAGACATCTCAGCACAGATCATCTACAGTCACGTGCCATATACTGACGTTTCGGTCAAAGATAGACTGCACATTCAATGGTGGTCCCATAAGGTTAGTGCCATATGGCCTAGGTGGGTAGTACACTGTACCACCTACGTTTGTGTAAGTACAACCTATGATGTTCACACAATGAGGAAATCAACTAACAACGCGTTTCTCAGAACGTATCCCCGTCATTAAGTGACGCATGACTGTATTTCTGGAAGGACTTCTTAAATCCTCTCTAAAGGAACACAGGTAAAATTTTTCCCTGGCCTCCAGCCTTGTATCTGATCTAAACCTTCAGGAACCTGGGGTGCATCAGTATGTTAGACAGAAAGAAGACAGGAATAAAAGCCCAAAGCCTAAAGGGAATCAAGCAGAGAAGGTGCCGGGCGTGGCCGGCCAGGGCGGAGGCTCACTCGAGGAGGGCGGTGCTGAATCCTTGCTCGAGCCACTTTCTGCTTGTTGACGATGTTCATCAGCTTGATGGCATCTGCGCCCTTCACATACACCACTGGCCTCTTGAGCGGGTCTTCTGAGCCCTGGTTTAGCTAAGGAAGAAGAGACGGTCCTGGTCAGAAGATACACTTACTTTAAGAAGCAGGGAAGAGAAAGAAAGTCTGGAGGAAAAGAATACTGAATACCCATTTGGGAATCCTCAAGCTCCTCCGGCATTATAGCCTTGGAGCTCCCGAAGGGCAAGGCTGAGGATGATGCTCGTTTTAGGGTAGACTAGGCAGGCTGAAGGCCCAGAAGGGTCTTTGAAAATGCCCCCCAACCCCCAACTTCCTGGCTCTTAACCCCTCTCAATACACTTGCCTTGGAGTATGATGTCCAAACATGGCTATCTAATGTCAGCAGACACATGCCAAGGCCCTGAGATGAGGGTGACACGACTGTGACAAGCCAAGCTAACTAAAGGAAGTGCTTCTCTCAGGGAGCCTGCAGCGTTGGCAGGGCCCGAGGGGCTTACCTGGTCGATAGCTTCTGGGTTTTCAGACACATCAAAGATGACTGCAGTGGCTCCCCGCTGCACTGCTCGCTTGGCCTGGCAGAGTGAAAAAGAGCAGGTTGGCACTCTGGTCCTCTTACCTTTCCAAAGCTGGCCTTGGAAATCAGACCTGTATTCGAATGCAGAATCTGACAGTTCCCAACTTATGTGACTTTGGGCAAGTTACCAACTTTCGTAAGCCTCAACTTTCCCATCTGTAAAAAAGGGGCAATGCCACCTACCTTGTACAGTTATCTGAGAACCAGATGAGTTAGAATAGGTGAAAATAGATAATTGGGTACTAAATTAACCTTTGTCTCCCTATCCAGCCTAAACCTTAACAAACAACAAATCTGGTGCCAGCCTGGTGGCATAGTGGTTAAGTTTGTGTGTTCCGCTCTCCCGGCCCGAGGTTCGCATCCTGGATGCGGACGTACACACTGCTCGTCAAGCCATGCTGTGGTGGCATCCCACATACAAAATAGAGGGAGATTAGCATAGATGTTAGCTCAGCGACAATCTTCCTCACAAAACAACGACGACGACGACGACAAAACTGCCGACAAATCAACAACCTGCCCGTTCAGCATAAAGGTATTGGTTCAGTATTTTCTGCTTTGTCACAGAGGCGCTGGCAACCAAAGCAAATGCTTTCAGTCCTTCTCTCATGGTCCTTCTCTCTTCCCATGTCACCCGGTACTGTAGTTAGACTAGCATCCTGAATATTTCCAAAGGAGTCTCAAAATGGTCCATTTTAATAACTGACATACGCTGAAGACTTCTGGAGATGCTGCCGTAGGGAAAAGCTACAAGAAATAATTGTAAATGTGGATTTAGATTTAGAGCAGTTGGCTGCCAAACCTGGCTGCACATCAAAAACCACTTCGGAAGTTTATGAAGCAGATCTCCTGGCTCAGATCACAGAGACTGACTCAGCAGGGCTGGAGTAAGGCCCAGGAAACTGAGTTCTGAAAGTTTCCTGAGGGATTCTGATCATTCAACCACTTGGGAAACTATTGATCAGAGAGATGAGATTAAAATGTTTTAGGAACGAATGAGAAGTGGTGGGATTCTTTTGGAGGAGAAAGGATTCCTTTCTATCCCAATGAACCTTCTGATTTCATGTCCAGCTAGGTAGATAACAGGGAAGAAGCTGTGGAAGAACAAGACATAAGACATCACCCTTGCTTTTAGAAACCCGAATCTTGTTAGGGAATAAGACACCTCAACGTGGGGAAAAACAAAACAAAACAAAAACCAAAACCTCCTATAAATGGGCAAATGATGGCTAGTGCTCAGAGGTCAGGAAATCTCTACAGGCCAGAGTGCTTGAGAAAGAATAAAATCTGAATTCCTTCGATAGGAATAATCACTCTACAGGGATGCTGCATAAGAAAGCAACACTGAACTTAAGCAGATGAGAATGTGGCTGGACCAATGGCTCCACCAGCCCACTAGAGGGCAGTCTTATCCCACAGCTTTTAGAACAAGACAATTCCCTATACTTTGTACTAAACAAGCAGGACAGAGAAATCCTCAGAGATATTGCCAAGTCCTCTGCAACTGCACAAGCTCGGGCACTCTGGGTGCTTTGCTGCAGAAGCTGTTCTTGTTCTGCTGGAGTCTCTCTCTCGGTGAACTGAGATTCAGCGTATTTAAAGTCTCCTCTGCTGCTTGTCCATCCCACCCCATTTCATTACCAGCATCCTGCAGTCAGAAGTGACTCTTGGTGGGGTCAGCCCAGTGGTGTAGCGATTAAGTGCTCGCGCTCAGCTGCGGCGGCCCAGGGTTCGCAGGTTTGAATCCCAGGCGCGCACCAATGCACCACTTGTCAAGCCATGCTGTGGCAGCGTCCCATATGAAAAAAAATGGAGGAAGAACGGGTACGGATGTTAGCCCAGGGCCGATCTTCCTGAGCAAAAGGAGGAGGATTGGCAACGGATGTTAGCTCAGGGCTAGTCTTCCTCACGGAAAAAAAAAAAAAAA